CAAGATGGCGGATCCAATATGGCGAACGAATTTTGTAATTATGATCCGATTCTATTCAAAAACTAGAGTATTGGTATCTGCTATAGAGCAGCAAAATGTATCGACCAAATGGTTGGAAAGAATTCTATTGCTAAAATTCATAAAGAAAATTGCAGAATTTTTAAAACTGCCTGATGTCATACATTATACCGGGCATAGTTTCAGAAGAACCTCGGCAAGTTTATTTGCAAATTTTGGAGAAAACATTCTTGCTTGGAACTCTGCGAATATCTCTCACAAAATAGCAAACAATTTCGAACCAAATTGTGGGCACTATAGTTAATGAAATTGATTGTAATCAGCCAAGTTCGAATTCTGTATAATATTGTTCTTTATGAAAATATCATGAAAACTGCATTGGCTCCAGATCTTACTTCTAGAGGTATTCAAATAACCACTGCTCAAAACTGCACTTTCAACATTACTTCATATAATTATTACTCTACCACAAATTGAAAATATGTAGGATGCAAGAGTGAAAATAATGTGCCTTTAAGCTATACTGTATACCGATTTCTTCGTTACTTTCATCAATAAATTATTTGAAAATTACTTTTTATTTAAGGGAGACGGAAAAATCATATGTATAGCATGGTATATTCTATTCTTTATTTTCTTGCACATTTTGCGTATTACTTTTCATCAGCCTACTTTTCGTCCTAGACGAAGTTCTATATATAGTGTGATATTAAAGTCACTCCATAAATACTTCTCCGAGTTGGATTTACGAAAATATATTTAGCACACATGGCATGAGCACAGTAGTAGTTTAGATAATACCCACATCGAGGTTTTCAGCATTTATCAATCATGAGGCTTAGCTCATTCAGCTCATAGATAAACTACTGCTCAGCTTGAAATCAGAATGCATTCAGTCAATTCAGTCAACCCTGGTTTACAGTCTAAGAACAGTCTCTTTTGGTGAAATATATTAAGCTTTCAGTACAATTTATATGTTCCCTACCTTGCAAAGATTATGCTGGAGTAGTAAACTCTAAAACTAGAGGATTGTTCATCTATATCTTGGTATAGTTGAATCAGGAATTCCATATGGAAATTACGTATAATACGCCAATGACCTCAATATGACCTGAAAAATCTAGTGTTTATCCCCAGAATTGAACAAGGATGGAACTATATAACTGTTTCACAAACACTTTAGAGTGAGAGACGAGGATCTGTCCGTACCCTGTTAAGATGACAAATACGTCAGTTTGCATCAAGGGGCCCTAGGATCACGGAATGTTGGTAGTAATGAAGGCCACCAAAAATCTGAACAATAAATTAGAAAAACCCAATACCACAGGCAGTTAGGATTATAACAGGGTGCATGAGATCCACCCCCAGAAATGTACTACTAGCAGAACTTTCGCTACAAGAAAGAAGGATTCAAATAGGAATTACATATATTTCAAACAATAAGAAGCAATAATGTAACATTTGAAAGATTACAAAGACTGTTATATCATATCAGAAAGGAAACAAATACTGGCAAACCAAGTCACACCACCAATCCTTGGAGCAATGGACACAATATAAAAAAAATGAAACACAAATGACAGAGTTAGACTACCACGATTCAGGACTAGATGAGCATCAGCAATTGAATCAACAAATATTTATGAATATCTGACATGAAAAATTCAGAATATGTACAGATGAATCAACAGATATAAGAATAAAGGGAAGGATACATAGTAGATAGCCTAATAATAATGGACTCTTCATCAGTTTTACAGAAAATTACCAGAAAAGAGATCCACAGTGGAAGAGACTGGATGGAGATGTCAACAAAATAAAAAATAATCCAAGCAAACCAGAATGATGTTACCAAGTCACACAGGAATAAAAGGTAATGATAAAGCAGATGAACTAGCCGCAAAAGGAAAGAAACTCACAACATACCAAAAAATGAAGATGGATAGCATGAGTTTTGTACCAAAATTCAAGAGATATATCTGGGAGAAATGGAATACCATATCAAAAATCAATGGCAAAAACTATCACATAATAGAAAACACACCACCAAAAAAACCATGGTATAAAAAAAATCATAAGGAAATTGTTATATCTAATAGACTAAGATCATCCCATTGCAGCATCCCAGAATCCCTATACAGAATAGGAATTATGGAACGCCCTAGATTTAAGTGTGCAGAAATAGGAACAATTCAGCATGTCCTACTAGAACTTTTTTTTAAGGCTTTATTCAAATAGTTCACAATCTTATCTTAATTATTTTCAATTTAGTACATTACTGTTTTCGATGCTATTTGAAAAATAATTCCAAATTCCAAAGCACGTGATGCTGGTCTCGGAACTTCTTAATCCTACACACATTCATTTCATTGTTACTATCCTAACCTGATCTTCATACACTTATGTTATTGTTAGAGATTCTTTTCGACAACTCAGTTTTAAATATTTTTATGTTATCGGCTTTCCTCAACGCCACTGGTAAACAATTAAAAGTTTTGATACATTTATTGAGAGGGTTATTTAAAGCGATGTTCGTTCTTGTGGGCTCGATGCTCGATGTATATATTTCTTTGGTTCCTTGTCTAATAGGAATGGACTTCATGGTTTAATTTAATTCGTGAATTACACTTCTGTTCAGATTTGCAAACTTTGTATATGTCTTTGTATATGTCCTGTATATGTCCTATGTCCTGAGAATATACAAAACTGTGAGCTGTACCACTCCATAGTCAAGAAAGAACCATCCCCAATTAAGGCAAATATCATAGTGTGCATACCAACATTTCATAAAGTGAAAGGGGTAAGTACATTTTTGATGAAAAGTAATATTAAAATATAACTAATTGATACATAAGATAAGTGCAAACATTTAAAACATTAAATAGGTAACCAAAAGAGAAAGGAAAACCGGAGGGAAAACCAGTGAAAAGTATGGTGAAAAGCCAGACTTGCTACAAGGCAAGCTCTCCCTGGAGAAAATGAAGCCAACAAATCAATAGATTATGGTTGTGTGGAGAGACACAGGCCAGTAAAAAAGAAAGAAGAGAAAGAACCAAACTGATTATTTAACCACCTCAACTGGTGTTGCCCTAACTATGTTAGCATTTTCAGGAGCAAATCACCTGTTGAGGCATTCAAAAAATCGGATTGGTTGGTGTTAAAATAGTGTAGTGGGTCTTCGCTAAAATTTGAATAAGGGTTCTCTCTTCGGATAAAAATCTATGAGTTTCTGCATTTCCCAATTTTTTCTACTTCAAAGATGAAATGAACTGATTTCTTTATTGAAGCACGGAAAATATCATAAAGGTCCTTACTTTAAAAAAAACATGTCATGTAAAAAAAAACAAGAATAGCTGAAAATATATACAGAGTACATTTTGTCAGGTACATTGGTTACAGTGTAGTATTTAAAATAGCATAATTATATCACAGAATTTGTCACTACTTATTATTATTATGCGTTTTTATGAAAGTTCTTAAAAATATTACAAATGTTGCCAGATCAATTCAAAGCTTAACCAAGCATCAACTCTATTTACTCATAAGGTGTTTTTTATTAAATAATTTGCTGATACATTCTTTGATTTCAACAGGCAGTTGATTATATATTTGAACACCTTTAAAGCAAATGGATTTTTGATAGGCTTCCATAGATGCATTGGGTAAGAATAACTTCTTGCTATCACATGTATTGTATGAATATAAACTCACATGCTGTAAATGACAGATTGGAGAATTTTTGTCTTTTAATGGTTCAATGAATGTGATTCGATATTTGGAGTTCATACATATTATCTAAACTTAAAATATTGAAGTTTTCATAAAGATTAACTGTACTATATCTATGGGGCAGTGAGTATATATTTATTATAGGGCTTTATTTTGGATTGTCTTCTCTTTTTTAACCAATTTATTACAGGCTGGAAACCAAATCCTCACCAGATATTGGAGGTGGCAATGTATCAGAGTAAGCAGTACTATTAAAAATTTTGGAACATACCATGACAGTCGCTTCAAGATGCCAATTGGGGCACTAATCTTTTTGGTCAAACGATTTATGTGGTCACTCCATGACAGTGTTGAGTCAATGATAGACCTAGATATTTCATTTCACAGGAATATTTGATTTGGTTAGTGCCAAAGATAAGGGGTTCAGTTGAAACATAAAACATGACGTCTTGGTGTTTAAAGTCAATTTGTGACTTGCAAGCCATTTTTCAACAAGTAGGAGATCAAGCATCATGTCCTCTCTTATTTGTTCTATAGATCTACCTGAGTAAAGTAGTATGGTATCATCAGCATACAATTTTATTTGCCCTCGGAGTCACAGGTTTGATATTGAGTTGACATAAATCAGGAATAACGTTGGTCCTAATGTTGTGCCCTGAGGGACACCACATGTTCTTGTTTGATTAGTGCTAGCTACTCCATCAATTGATACATGTTGCAGTCTACCTGAGAGGAACTCTTTGAACAATTTCAAAACTACGCCTCTGATACCTAGCCTTTCTAATTTGGACAATAGAATATGGTGATCAACTGTGTCAAAAGCCAAAAGGTGTTTCTATGAGAGAATCCTGCAGAAATATATTTATCAACTATAGAATTTTAACATTACCTTGTGTTTATATATAAAAATTATGATAAATATGTTGTTCCCAATGAATCCAAACATAATGTGAATATCCAGCAAAAAATGATGTATTTGTCCCATTTGGTAAATGTAAATTAGCATACAGTTCTCCTAATCTCATGGCCCAACGAATTTTCAACTTACTGCCAGTCAACATAAAAAACTGTGAAACATTGGCCATGTTTGAAAGAAGATTGAAAAACTTTCTGTTACATAACTGTTTTTATAGTGTAGATGAGTATATGTCCCTTCAGTTTGTAAGACTGTATTGACAATTCCTATACAATTTGAAATGTAATTGTCAAAAGGAAAATAGTTTATCTATCTAATATATTGTATTGAACATTACCTGGACAACTGAAATAATTCTTGTAATGTATAACCAGGTCTACCAGGTTCTTCTCCATGATGATATAATATTCTATTTTTCTCAGTGATCTCTGGATCAGAATAGGGCAAGAGCCATCCCTCAAAATCAAATCTACAAAAACAACATTTGAAATCTGAGAGGTATAATTTTAAGTACTTTACCTTGCCTCAAATTCCTCCATTTTTTTTAGTTCAGGTATATTGACATTCTGCATCCAAGCCAACTTATTGGTTTCAATGATATCAAAATTCAACCACTTATCAGCCTTAGGTTGTGTGAAAATTTCTGAGGTTGACTCAATATCATCAACTTTGATATCTTCAGCAACTTCATTCTGGTCTTTAATAGTAGGATTTTGATTTTCATGAGCTTTTCTTCTTGATTTCAAGTATGCTACTATTGCAGGATCCATTGTGGCAATGAGTTTTTCTCTCTCTTCCATGATTTCTTGTTCTGACATTTGTTTCATCAGGTTCAAATTTTCTTCATGAATCTGGGTACTGTCAGAGCCCATTAACACAAAGCTCTTTTGAGGCAAGTTTTCCTGTTTTGTTTGATTTCTTGGTGTTATTTTATTTGCTACAGGACAACTTTCTATACATTCTTCTATACATATTGTACTTTCACTCATGGGAGTTGAATCAACTTCTATTGGTGATACTTCTTTTTTAATTCTCTTGATTTGTTGGGAAAATAAGCTACCTTTACCAGGGTCAAGAGTCATCTGAAATATCAAAGAATTTGAAAGATATTTACAAAAATCCATTGGATCCTACATCTCTCCTTTTTGCCTGAGGAAATCCTCTGCCTTTATGAAACTTCAGCACTGGTTTCTCACTTGATACTTTTTTCTCTGTTATAGTCTTCAGAGTTACATCACTTGGGATTGCTTCAAATGTATTAGCAAGTTGTTCTTCAATATCTGCTCTTGATATAACATCTGCTTCATTATTCTGTCTGTTAATTATGGTACCTGATGAAAATAAGAATCATTATTTTGAACTATATCCTTTATTGGATAGAAATCAAAAATATGAAGCACACAAAAGAATACTTGAGTTTTCAGTTTTTTTTACACCTATTAGGACTTGTATTGGGGCAAAGTATTGTATTGATGGTGTACCTGTTCCTGTGAGAAATGTATAATTCACAAAAGGTGATTGTTTATGGATTACCTACCTTTGGGGTTCTCATTTATTGGTATTACTGATGGTTTGAACTTGTTATCAGCTTTGTTTTTCTCGAATTCCTCCTGTAAACGTAATAAATCTTCTTCGGTTTCACCTATTTTTGGTCTCGAATACATCTTATGAAGACGAAATTGTTTAAATATTCAAAAAAAAACTATCTTCAAAGTTCAACTTCACAACGAAACTTTTGCACAGAGTAAACAAATAAGGTTAATCTGTGACTTTTGTGTGGTTAAGTTAACGTTCTTCTTCTTCTTATTTATTGACATCCTGTCCCGTGAGGACATTTAGCCATATGTCAAGGTCAACCTATCTTCTTCAGAATAATTATCATACCATATTCATTAAGAATTCATCATCATTCTTCCCCTCTTCCCTACACCTACCCTATTAGAAGGATCCTATTAGCATTATTAGTAGGTATATGCATGACTACACCACACCCCCAACGCCACAACACCGGTGGAACTTGGCAGACCGAGATTCTACGATCACTCGATCAGTGGCGGCAGTGGCGTACCAAATATAACAGTTATAGTGGAATGTGGAGTAAACAGAATAGATGATACTTTTTTCTGTAATCGCCTCAAAAGTACGACGTGTCTGAACTGCCATTCTAAAAATACTATTTCTTACGAATATTTGCCTAATTTACTGTTGCAACTGTAAATTTGCACCAATTTACAGTTGCTACTGTAAATAGGCAGAAGAAACTTTTTTAAATACCTCCTACGATTTTAATTTACAGTTGCAACGGTAAATTGGAACAACATCTCCTATTTTACAGTTGTAACTGTAAATCAGGCAGAGAATAGTTAATTGTTTTACTAGGCAGAAAAGTGGTAGATTAACTGCCGCGGCTAATAGTTCATAGCCGAGCGTAGCGAGGCTAGAAATTCAGCAAAGGCAGTCAATCTACATTTGCTGCCGTGTGAAACATAGAATTTTTCTTCAAATGATATAAAACCAATTTTGTGTAATTTTTTTATTGAAAACTCCATCATTTTGAGTTCACCCAATGTCAGTGTCAATTTTGATTACTATAATTTCATTAGAATTTCTCGGAACGTTGCATATAGCAACAAACTTTTTCTGCCTAGGCAGTAAAAGAACACCTTTTCTGCCTGTTAAGTGGCAGCAAAAAGCCACTATCCCTGCCACTTGGAGAAAAAACTTTATTTTTTCAAAACACCTCCTAATTTACACTAAAGTCGTCCATTTTTGTTCTAAAATAAGCTGTTATTGAAGTTGACGTTTCTCTTACTGATAGAAAAAAATGATTAGTATAATATTCGCGATAGAAAATAAGCGTACGCCACCTATCGGAGTTCATGAAAACCGTCAAAGCGGCATGTTTACTTTATTTTCATTGGTTCACATTTGTTTTTTGTTTGTGCTTATTGGTCAGATCATCAAAACAAACCGCTCAGAAGTGTTCAAGTTGCTGCCGTCAGATGGGGCGACGTGTTATATTCTATCGCGAATAGGAGCAGAGCTCAGACGAGCAGAATTCTTCGACCTCATGGGTTTTTGATTGATGGCCGCATTGACCGAACTTCAAATGGCCGAACAATCCAAGACCACTTCGTCCGGGCTTTTTGGTGGTCGAATTCTAAATCCTGGACCACCCTGTATCAGGAAGAATCTAAAAATGCGATAAAATACAGGGTGTTCCATTTGAAATATCAATGTTGCGACTCCTTTCTAGTAGAAGCGGCAACACTGCATTGTCGAAGATATTTTAAATGAAGAGAGCGTTTTTTAAAATATAATATAATCATGCACATTTTCATGGATTTCTCCCGACTGATTCTCGATATAAAGATACGCTCGTCGTGACATAACCTGTATATACATATATCCATTTACATCCAAGTGTTTTATGAGATTATTAATACTGTTATGTGAATATGTAGGTAAAACATAATATATAATTCTTCCGACTGCAATTATTACTCAATAATAATTATGAAATTATCATGGTCTAGTACTTGAACATTTTTATCATACAATTTTTATATCGTATATTTCTTAGAATGGAACATTGAATTGTCGATGAGATTTTATCTTCCGACACGAAAGTGATGAAAGTACAGTTTGATTTGATAACATTTGTCAGCAAGCTCGCTGTTACCTATCAAGTTCGCCCGAGTTGCCGTGATATTTTCAATCTGGTGATAGTATGGCCTCCTCTATTGTTGTACGCATCAAAGACGCATTCTGGAGTCGTAAGTATTGCACCATATTATATTTCTGCTATGATTTCACTATGAATAAATAGGCTTTGAAACGTATCGAATTCTCAAACTCCAGGCTCGAGATCATGGGATCTTAATCCCTCGGCGGGTATCTTTCTTCGTTTTTTTTGACATGGACAAAATATGGGTATCCAGAGGACATCCATTGGACATGTAATGGAAATCCGATGGCACTTCCAATGTACGTTCAATATTTCGAACATGTATCATTCCAGATAGCACAATTTCATATAAATGAAAGAACGTTCATAGAATATTCTCCGAGTATATTATTTGAATATTCTCAGAATATTCTCACAATGTGATACAAATATTCTATGGATGTTTTATGAATATTCGGAATGGACTGTTTTAACTATTCTGAGAATATTCCTAGTATATTGAAGGAGAATGAAGAAAATTTTGCTCCGGTGGAGATGCGAACCTATAGTATCTTATTGTGAGTGCACATTTAGGAACCTGAAACCTTAACCACTTCGCCACGAACCCTATTGATAAATATAATGAATAGCAGCAAGATGACAACACTGAATAATTAGTGGGATTATTAGCATTGAAGCTAGAGAATAATAGGTTATGTCAGGGTAAATATTAAAAATATTGATACAAGAATAGGAACATCGATATCATTTATTTTGATACGATTCTGAATATTCTCAGAATATTCAAGAAGAATATTCTCAGAACATTGGAAAAGAATATTCTGAGAATATGTCAAATTGAATGTTCATACAATATTCGCTGCAAGTTGAGAATATTTTATGATCATTCTGAGAACATTCTATAAGAATATAACGTTGTCAGAATATTCATAGAATATTCTGTGCTGTCTGGGATACTTGTGTTGTATGTTTTCACCACATATTCATAAAAAACAACCTAGTATTCCCATCAGGATAATAATAATAATAATACTATTAGTAATCAAAATAATGATAATAATACTGTAGTAGTGGTATTGTGAGGAGGCTACTGCCATGCCATTTATATCAATCCCTGCTCTCCACATATTATCTACACATTCTTCTTCTAGTTGTCCTTTTTGAACCTCCCTGACATACAGACTAACGGCTTATAGGCTGTGCTTATTCGTTGTACAAAAATTATAATCAGAGTCGGTGGAATACACGGCGTTATAGTGAATAGATGCGCACATCGGGATCACCCACCGCTGTGATGTCCCAAATGAGCATTACCCATTGTCACATTTACGGTATCAAAGGTATTATCAACTCTAATGAAACGGAGTTTATGATGATTGGAAATGTCCAACATTATAAAAACTTCCAAGATAACAACTATGATATGAAAATCGGAGCTTCCTTGATCAGCAGATATCAAATATCTTGGAGTGACCATAGATCGTCAACTGAAATTCAAACAGCATGTAAATGGTCTTATAAAAACAATTTCTTACAAAATCAACTATGTTTGTAGATTTTCAAACTATTTGAGTCAATGGTCAAGTCTCATTATTTTCAGTAAGTACTTTGATACTTCCCCACTTCACTTATACCTCAACAGTACCATATACATTAAATCAGAATGAAATACATCGTTTTCAAAAATTACAAAACAGAGAGCTATGCAAATTATATTGGTATGTCCCAGATTAACCCCAACTGTTGAAATGCTACCTTTTATGTGGCTGTCAGTTGAAGATTTTTTCCACTATCAAGCTCTGATTTTCATATATGAAACAACAACTGGCTGTTACCCGAATTACCTGCAGAATAAGATTACTTACAACTATAAGATCCATAATCACAACACAAGAAGTAGAACGAATTTTTATACAGGGTGTCTGTAAAAGGTCTTTACAAAAACATACCACATATTCCGAGACCAAAATAAGTCGATTTAAGTAAAATTACCTCAGTACAAAGTTGCATCGTTTGGGCTCCAGAGGGCCTTGAAGTTACAATTTTTAAATTGTTTTTCCCATATAAATTTAAAACGGCATATGCGATTTTGCTGAAATTTGGTATACTGATAGAGTTTGATGTGGCAAAAAAAATGGTGTTGAAATTTTGTCCGATAATAATGCATAGGCGTAGAACTTGATTTTTTTAAATAATTGCACCTTTAAAAATTCTACGCCAATGGAAGAAAAGGAGTTTGAGTAGTAAATTTAGATTGCGCAACTCATTTACTTTAAAAAGGAACTCTTGATAAGACTCGATTGCTCTCATATGGTTTTGACGAAATTTGCATTTTAGTAATTTTAGAACATAAACAATAATTATCAAAATACAAACTTTGTCAAAACCATTAACCATTTTCAAATGTGCAATTATTTAAAAAATCAAGTTCTACGCCTATGGCAGAACAGGGGTTTGAGTATGAAATTTGGATTGGGTACTCTTTTACTACAAAAAAGTACCCTTGATAACACTGGATTCACTCTCATGGTTTTGACAAAGTTTGTATTTTGCTCAAAATTCAGTATTTTTCAAAAGACTGCAGCAGTTCAATAAATCACCAGAATTTATGAAAAACTCATTGAAACTGATTATATTTCAGAGAAAATTAAAACAATATTCGTTGGGCGTACTAACCTGAGTGGTGTAGAAATAATTATTTTTTTCTGTGACAGGAAAGAAGTTTGGCATTTCATCTCTGTTGGCAGGTTATAGAATGTCACTTTTCATAAATTACTTTCTTCCCGTGGGAAAAAAGTGAGTACTTCTTTCCCGGATATATATCACATATATATACTCTGTTAATGGCTTTTGTTGTGCTATAGTTCCGAAAAATGAGTCAATAATACCGTCTCCGAGAAAGAACTGCAAGTCCTTTTATCTTCCATTCGACTTCGCGGTTTCGTATATTACTAAAGAACTACTGAATTCGCAATTTTTTAAAATCAAATCACAGAATTGAACTGACAGAAGTGACATCAGATATTTGATTACTTCAAAAGAATGATAAAGATGCCTATAAAACGCAGGTGTCCCTACTGTTGAAAACTTGAAATTTCACGTCGATAATTTTCAGATTTCGAAATAATGTAATATCTTCTCAATATTGATTCGTCCTTCCTTCTGACACAGAAAAAAATAGTGTATTATACACGGGAAAAATATTAGATTTTAGCTCACGGTTTTTTGTCTCCCTCCGCTACGCGTCGGGAGACAACACAACCTGGAGCTAAAATCTACTACTTTTTTCCCTTGTATAATAAATAACTATATATATCAACTGAAAGAATATAATTCTCTTCCTCAAAACATAAAATAATATGATACTGTTAAAAACTTTATAAAAAATGTATTAAGGAGTACCTGAAACAAAGAGACTTGCTATGATAAAAGGAAAAAAACTTAATATTTATTTTTCTATTTTATTTGATAATAAAACTGTTGGTGTTATGCTGTGTGTTACTGTGCTATTGGAATGGGCTTATATCACAAAAAAAATTTATTTCATAATTCGATAGAACTCACCCAAACTATCTCACCACCGCAAACCGTTTCTTGCTGTGAGCTTCCTACGTTTTATAAAAAATTATTGAAATCCCCGATTTTTCGGACCTCTGAAAACGAGGCGATGATGTGACGTCAAAACCCTAATACTGAAACAAGACTATTCCAGACAGAGATGAATGATACATGATTTCTGACAGAGTGAATTAGCGCGAGATCACAGTTGAAAGAATTAATATATCAGTTGCCTCAGTCTCCGTCGGGCGTTTGGTATTTTCTTTTAACTATGGCGAGATGAAGTTTCTATGTCATAAGAGGGTCCGTTTTCAGAAGTTACTATTATTCATGTCCAAAAATAAAACATTCCAGTTAATTTTTCGATCGAATTATGTCGTCAATCATTATTAATGTGTGAAAGGATCATTATAAACATGGTTTGAGTTAAAAGTTCTACTAAGGTGTACACGCCCATTGCTGATATTAGGATGTATCCTATCTTGAATAAATTCTATTCTATTCTACACCTATGCCTGTTAGGTGTCTACCATAGACCTATGGGATAATAGGTCTATGGTGTCTACACAACCTATTGTGTCCTGTCAGTACCCATGAGGAGGCGCACTACTACTACTACTACTACTAATAATAATAATAATCGGATTTTTATCAGGAAAACGGGATGAACTATACCACAAGAATATTTTCTATCATAGCAATGGACAAGTAAGTTATATGCACCTAGTCCAGAAAGATCATCTTTACAGGACAAGGTAAGCAAATGTCAGGCCGTCGCTAAAGCATAAACTTTTAACCCCTTTGGTATATGAAATATGTTTTCATCCCAAAGAACCGATACCTGTTGAAAACTTATGACTGAAATAATGAAGTTCAAAATGAGTGGCAAATTGTATTATTGAACATTCAATACAACATACATTGATTTTATTATTACAAATCATATTCCTATGTATTACCATGAAGCATAACTCATATAGAGTGAGCATGTAATGGTTGGAAAAAATTTATTAAATGTATATTATTCAAGAAACGCATAATGATTGCTATTACCCATAAAGATAAAAGTTGCAGTATGAGCCGAAAGCAAGTGCTGTAATCATATGAATGAGAATAGCCATTATGCACAAGTAGAATACTATACTTTATCTACAACTATTCAAATATCCAAGCAAATTTGATAAGTTATATATTGCAAAATTACTAAAGCTAATTCGAAATAGGTACTTATTAATGTAATCGAAAACTTAGACAAAAATTTCAAATCTAAATGAACAGCTGATGACTTATTTTAATAATGTTGTGAATTGTGAAATTATGATAAAAAATGTCGGATCTAATTTATATTAACAGGGAGAAATTCGTGCGAGCGCATCAGCCAATCTTATCAGGTATTAAGTATATGCCATTTCAGTATGTGAAATGAATCATATTATTGCAGACTATTCATATAATAACATAAGTATCTACGTCAAAACAAATAAATAGATAATAGTTATTCATACACCAAGGTAGTAAAGAATATTATTATTACCCAGGGCCCAAGATTATATCCCAAGAATTCAGCCGAGGGGTATAACGTCCCGTGGTAATGATAATCTTTACTACCAAGGTGTATATTACATTTTTTCACCACTAGTGATATATGTTAATCCTTATAGTTTTGTGAAACTGAAATATGGACCTATATTCACTGATAATTACAGGAGAGCTTTTTTTTGTAGAAGTAAACTTGACGTATATCAATAAGGATTTTGTTGCCTGGCAATCTGACGAAAAAAAAAAACTGCCTCTGAAAAAATTACCGTCCGTAGGAGTTGAATTACCTAATGGCATCACAATTCGAATTATAAATGCCAAGTTTACTTGGACTAAAAAAAAAGACAATTTAATTCATCAAACATTTTGTTGATGGGTGGTTGTCATGCTTTCAAAAGTTAGGTTCCGTTATTGTCGCTGAAAAAGTTAGGGCAAACTTTTTTCGCTGTCATAATGACAATATCACGCGATTGTGGTATTTTTCATACATGAATTAAATTGTCACAAGTAGCCATGACAATGACAGCATTATGACAAGTCGTTTTATTATTGATAAATACCTACTATAGATTCAAGATCAAATTTTGCGAATCTCATGTCAGAACAGTGAATTCGGGTTGATTATAAAAGGGGTGGCTATGTATTTATTGACTAGTAGTTCATAAAATGACGAACACTACCTTGGTAGTAAAAATACACTTTACACCTTGAAAAGGAGTGAATAATGGTAGGTTATATAGCTAGTGGTGTAAAAATACTACTCTGATACTTCAAACCTAATAGTTATTGCAGAATAATGATTGATGGTCGCTACCATCCTATCAACAATGAAGTTCCATCGTTTTGATTGATCTGCACCCATCTATTCAAATCGCCCGCACATAGTTGTAACTATCGAGTATTTAGTCCTATTTTACGGTTACTCATGGTAGTCACTGTTACGAATGAAAAACAGTGAAATTATTTTATTCCATGTATTTGTAGAATGGCGATTCAAACTATGAGAACCATATTATGTGGTGTCTATTGAATTTGCGTGTATTTCAGAAACAGTATTGTGCTGTACTTTAGTAAAACAAATACCAACCTACTTGGTGATGATGAGATATCAAATTATTACACCATCTTACTATTCTTACTGTCATCACAATAATGTATGTCATTAAGTGTTGAAAATAGGGTTACCAATGCATGAATGACTCAATATAGTTGTAGATAAAAGCTTTATCTGGCAATTGGGTAAAAAGCTCAGACAAGTCCATTGTCTTTTTCATATGCACATTTGTTGGTCTACTAATATTTTTGATGAACGTCATCATTATAAATATATACATTATGGAGAAATCTCTTCATTCCTCGAAAATACAGTTGTAACATGAGAATATATATTAGGTCCAGAAACAGCAAAATGCTCTATTTTTTACGGTTTTATCATGATAGGGTAGTACCATTTAAAAAATATAATGAAGTCATAACTCGAAGTGATGACATCATCAAAAATATGAGTAGACCAAAAAATGCGCAACTGAAAAAGAAAATCCACGTGTCTGAGTTTTTCCCCACTGGCCATATCAAGCTTTTGACAAATTTGTTCCAACCTTTACATGTTTGCTGTATAAAAAAGTGAAGAGGTATTACTATTCTAAACCATACAATTTCAAAGTTCTATCCATAGAAGTAGATGCAATAAACCTAGCATGTTTGCCAAATCTAACACCAGTTGCAGTTGCTGTATGGTCATTGAATACTTTAAGTTCTTGCCATTGTCTGCACTGATAAACCCTAAAAAAGCAGACCAAAGTTAGTAACTACCCTTGGAAAGTACTTTTTCCACAAACTTAGGTACTCACCTAACATCACTACCAGCCACTGCCAAATAAGTACCACTTTGATCAAAGCTCAAGTCTTTGATTTGATACCCTTCATCTAGTTGCAATGTTTTGAAATTGGTCAATTTCCTCAAATCCCACAGTTTTACACAAGCATCATCTGCCGCAGTAGCTAAATAATAACCATTTTCCGAGAAAGATATTGTTGTTATTGCTCCTGAATGACCTAGAATTAGAAATATTGGCTAGGATAGTGAGAATTAGAGTCCCTGGATGGTATTAGTGAATAAGAGTGCGGACACAGCTGGACTTCTTTCCTTTTCTATTTTCTATATTACAATGGTTTGAGTGAATAAAAGAATAAGAAATATATTCTGCTCTTTTTCTTTTCAATTTTCCTAGTAGCACCTGATTGTCAGATACCATTTCAGAGGTTAGATTTTCTGTCAAATCAATCATTGTCGTAGATGGAAAATAGAAATAGGGTATAAACACCCACTTCAATTTATATAGTGACACACTTTTCACAGAATAATAGTTATAAAAATGAAAAGAATTCATGTAACATCATTTTAATATGACAAAATACACACAAATGGATATACTTCTAGCTAGTTCCTTATTGTATGTAAAACTGTACCCGATCGATAAAGTTTAAAACATGAAGATTGTCTTGATTTTCCACCTACTGCTGCATTCACTTTTCACTGATACATTTTGTATTTGGTCGGTATTGTAAACGCCATTCAATGATATTATATCACATTGCAATTTACTTGATTTCCTCAGTTTTGTTCTCAAATTTTCAATTTCATTATTTAATTTCGCAATAAATTCCTCTTTCTCTATGATAATTTCTATTGTGAATCATTGGAACTGCAGATTCTCTCAAAAGGAATATTATAAATCTTCTGTTTGAGAAATGGGCCTAAAATATAGTTTCATTCCAAATCTGCTGTTATTGTAAACGCCATTCAATGATATTATATCACATTGCAATTTACTTGATTTCCTCAGTTTTGTTCTCAAATTTTCAATTTTATTATGTAATTTTGCAATAAATTCCTCTTTCTCTATGATAATTTCTATTGTGAATCATTGGAACTGCAGATTCTCTCAAAAGGAATATTATAAATCTTCTGTTTGAGAATGGGCCTAAAATATAGTTTCATTCCAAATCTGCTGTTATAAGAATTCAATTTTAATGTATGTACCTACTTTACAAATTTGGCTTGTCTTCGAATTAATTTTCCATCCAGGCAGTTTCATACATTACTTTCATAAGGGAATGGTTGATATTTGCTTTAGAAAATTGAAGAAATGAAATAGCCATTTCCTTCAGAATTTCCGCAATTCATTACACAGCAGGACATTTTTATTTATGCTTTTTTCTCAATAGGTCATGAAATTATATTTCAATTCTGACGTTCATAAAATTTTTCGTCAAATTCAAAAATTTTGAATGAGAAAGCGCGGAACGACTATGATGCTGTTGTCACAATGCAAGGTGTGTAACTTAATAAATCTAAACATTCAAAAACACTAACAGCTGTTATTTCTGTGTCCAACTCTTATCTAACTAATACCATCCAGTGACTCTAGTGAGAATAATAAATGACTCATTCATTTGCAATATTAATGAAATATGAATCGAATATACGGGGTGACATTGAAATGAATTCCTAAAATTTAAACCCTGAGAAAGTTCAATAAATAGGTACTACAGAATAGCACCATCTGTTAAATCAAAGACTGGAAACTTTGGCATGATGATACTGCACACTGTTTTATCATTAACCAAACATTTTACACCTCGACAAGTATTTCGGACTATATAAGCATCTTCAGGAGTAGATTAAAACTGAATGTTCTATCCTAGTGTGCTATTTATATACTAGGTATATGTCCACCCAACCATGAAACATGAAAGACATTAACCACCAAGAATATGTTGGTCATGGTTAAGTTCACATGTTAACCTTGGTCTTATATCACAAAACTATACAGAGGGCTAAATGGGATGGATCCATTATCCTGGTTCATTATTCTATTACTATTCTTAAATATCTCTAAGCTTTTATATGCATCTAATTTCCTAACATTATTAACTTGCTTAACTAATTTTAGGTTATCAATATGTGTGTTATGATTGTGATTGAACATGTGTTCGGCCACACACGATTTATCTAACCTATCATATTTCGAATGTGCTAAATGTTCTTCGAACCTTGTTTTCATGAGACGCCTGATTTAGCCTATATATGATTTATTACAATCATTACAACTAATTTCGAATATTCCTGACTTTTCAAGTACCTTATAAATTGCCTAATTTCGACCCGGACTGATAAACGCTTTCAAAACCTAAGTCTCTGAAAACTTTTATAAAGTCCTCTCGTGTACTGGGGATTGAACGGGATTGAGATTTTTCTCGAATTGCTTTTATCCGCTTGGAAAGTCGTAGAATTCCGAAGTGTTAACTTAAATTTATGTCTACGTATAAATTAATCTACTATTTCCATATTATAACCATTGACGCCAGCTACTTAAACAACATTCCTTTCAACATGGAATCTTTGTTTGCTCAGAGGTAATAAAACTAGTCTATGTACTAGGAAATTTAATCTTGCCATTTTTTGTTGAAAACAGTGATTGGAGTCATTAATTATGTGCGATAGTTATATGAGAAAATAACGGTTATAAGCGTTATATGCGAAAATAATGATCAATTACCATTCTTAGATGTTCTTGTGATCAGAAATGGCAAAAACAACTTAGAATTTGATGATTTTAGAAAAGGAACTAACACACTTAGATAAGTACATAACTAATGACTTTCAGCACAAAATAGCATGTTTAAATTTCCTAGTTCATAGACTATTTTCATTTCCTCTGAGCAAACATAGATCGATGTTGAAAGAAGTGTTGTTTATAAAGTGGCTGACGTCAATGGTTATGATATCAAAATAGTAGATAAATTAATACATGTATATGTATTAATTAAATAGTTAACACTTCGGAATTCTACGAATAAGCGAATAAAAACTATTCCAGAAGAATCCCAATCCCGTTGAAACCCAAGTACACGAGAAGACTTGATAAGGTTTTCAAAGACTCAGATTTTGAAAGCGTTTTTCAGTTAGGGTCAAAATCAGGCAATTTATAAGGTAATCCAAAAGATAAGGTGGACACACTTGAAAAGTCTGGAATATAGGAAATTAGTTGTAATGATTGTGATAAAACATATATAGGCCAAACCAGGCGTCCCATAAAAACAAGGTTCAAAGACCACTTAGCACACTTGAAATATGGTAGGTTAGATGAATCGTGTATAGCCAAACACATGTTCAATCACAATCATAACACACATATTAATAACCTCAAAATACTTATGCATGTTCATAATGCTAGGAAATTAGATGCATATGAAAGCTTAGAGAAAGAATAGTAATAGAATAATGAATAAGGATAATGGACCTATCCCATTTAGCCCACTGAATAGTTTCGTGATATAAGACCAAGGGTAGATGTGAACTCAACCATGACTAACATTCACTTGGCGGTTAGTGGCTTTCACGGTTGGGTGGACATATACCTAGTATATAAGTAGCACATTAGGATAGAGCATTCTGTTTTAGTCTTCTCCTGAAGATGCTGATATTGTTAGCGAAACAGGTGTCGAGGCGTAAAATAATCGGTTTGGTTAGTGGTAAAACAGTGTGTAGTAGCACCATATGAGAGAATGTAGGGAAACAAAATTTGGGAAATATCCCTTTCTCCTTTCAGAATTATACACTGTATCAATTTAGATGTCACCTCTTCACAAACTCCCATATGGAAAGCGAAATCACATGGAGTTGAAGTGAAGAAATTGATAATAACTTCATCAATTTATCTTCAAAAATACCTTCAATTTCTAAAACAATGAACGATTGTTCATCAAAGTTCCTAACACCGACAAATATTTCAGAAATTGAAAATATAATTGATAGCTTGGATGTACGGAAATCTTGTGGTTTTGATTTCATAACTGTAACCATTGAGTACACAAATCTGAATTGACTCCCATCTTGTTAAAAATTTTTTCAAAATCCTTTAAAAAGGGTATTATTCCTGACAAAATGAAAATTACTAAAGTATTGCTAATACACAAAACTATTAAGGAAGATGATTTGAATAATTACAGGTCAATATAATAAATAATAATATATGTTCATTGTAACAGAAAGGAAATACATTATATAGGTACATAATATATCAAATCTGTTACAAAAGGTACATAGTATTCATGGCATATTTACATATGCCCCTGCCTATTCTTGAATAATGGTCTGGATCTGTTCTACAGTAGTCCATATGGATTCATTCCATAGGTTTTAAGGATACAGAGATTACCAGATGTAATTTCAGGAATCCAGTCATGGATTGACGAAAATTATAACTTTGGCTTTTTGCCCTTATATAAGGCATTAGACACTGTAGATCATAGCATTTTACTAAATAAATTATATTTAAAGGAATAATTCATGATTGGTTCACACATTATTTGATGAATAGAAAGCAGTATGTTGAAGTTAATGATACTTGTGGCTCACTAATGAATATCACATGTGGAGTACCACAAGGATCAGTTCTGGAACCAATTTAATTTTAAATTTATATTAATATCAATTGAAAGGAAAGCTGAAATTATTTGTTTCAAGGTCATCATCTGATGTTGCAAAGAAGTTGATAATTGTTTTTATGTTTTCAAAGGATTCAAGCTTGGTAAATACCTTTTTCAACATCATTGAAGACAGAAATGTGACTGATATTTTGATGTTGAAAAAATCATTAAAACTTGAGAAAGTGACACTGAGGTTCTGTTGAGGTCACCAAATCTGTTAATAAAATATTCATATCAATTCAATTATGTCTATTGAGATTCATTGTTAATGCTTTATTAGTATAGCAGTATGCAATACATGGTTTCATCATTCATAAACAGCACTCAACATCATTTATTAGCAGTTGGAATACAAGATCTACTGCATTATGAATCTATAATGTCATGAATTGAACTGACTAAACTTACTTCTTGACATACATACATACATAACCCACAAATTCATGTCAATTTCAGATATCAATAAACTAACTCCAAATTCAGTTTCAATACAACATGGCATACATAAAACTGATAAACTTTCCACTAATTTCAACTAACCTTACTCTACTCTGAGAGTCAATAATAAGAATCTACAGATATTTTTGGGGAGTCATTCCAGAAACTTTTTTGTGGTGCACCTCAGGTAGATTTTAAAATGAGAAATGATTTATTTGTTTTGTTTATGAACTTCTATGTCTCGTAATTTTTATGCATCTGTGACCCTTATCCAGAAAAAAAAACATTTTTGTAAATCCCTAGTTACATTGAATTTTTTAACAAAACAATGCAACTTATTTTTAAATATAAAGAAATATATTGAACTTGATTGAATGAATCAATGAATGATAGATAAAATTACCTGTGAAATTTGCAACAATACTCTGTTCCTTCAAATCCCAGATTTTCACCTGTGAATCACCCATTCCTGTGCCAAAAATGAGCCCATCAGGATGGAGTTGTGCAGTTGTTAGTGGTACATTGGAATTATCTGAAACTTTAGTGAGCAAATGACCTGTCCTGATATCTGAGAATGCCCAATGTTGGTCCTCAGATGTAGACAAAACATAGTCCCCTGTAGGATGTAGAGAAAGACCAGTAACTGGACCATCATGGTGCCTCAGAAGAAGAGTGGTTTGTGATGTAGGAACATTCCATACTCGAATTGTGGAATCAGGAGAAGCTGAAAAATATAGCAAGGATAAAAATACATTGACATGATTTTATTTTCCTACCTTACCTGTAAGCACAAGATCTTCATCTGGATGGTAAATAACCTTTGTAACTTTCTTAGTATGGCCCTTGAGTATAGCCACAACTTGTTCAGTATCTTTATTGAAAACTGTGGCATTTTTGTCATTTCCTCCAGTAAGCACTTTACTTGTGTCAGAATTGTGAACATCTAATGCTAAAATACCAGGAATACTTGCTGAATGCAGACCCTAAAACATGTTGTATTTAAAGAGAATACTTCTCAGGTAGTTCACTAATATACAATGAGAGATGCTAGTGTTTTGAATGACTTGAGTTGTTCCTGTGTTGTTAGCTCTTCAGGAACTGTACGACCTCTCTTTTTACGCTCCTGTGTGAGAACTGTAGCTTTCTCTTGCAACTTCTGTAATACTTCAGTACTCATAACAGCCTGTTCAGTTGGTTGGTTAGCCACTCCTGCAGCTTCTGCTGCCACTGCCTACAACAAACAAAAACCATCATATCATACAGATATCAATATATGAATGAATATAAAAAATTACAGGTTGTGGTACACTTGTAATGCCAGCTTGGGGTTTAAGAGTAGCAAGTGCTTCTCTGGCAGCAGTAACTTCTTTGTTCAATCTAGCAATAACTCTACAAGCAGCATCATGCTGATATAGAGCATGGCTGAGTTCTTGCCTAGCAGTTTGAAGCTGTTGTCTTTGAGTGAAACTGTATAACATAACTGCATCCCATTCATCTTGAAGTAACTTTAACGTTGCTGGAATGCTTGTAGCGCTAGGTGGTTTCGGTTTCACTATTGGAGGGGCTGAAAATAGGAAATTCTGATATAAGTAGATGAAATCCATGGATTGCTCACAGCTGTACTTTTAATTTCAATCAGCTCATCTAAACCCAGTTCTTTCCCGCTAATAGGATCGACACCATTCTCCTGAACGTATTTTTCAATTATCCGCCTTTCGAAAATGGCACCAGATGAAGGGGACACCACCGGGTGATCTGGTACTTCATTAGAAACTGAAAAGTATAAGGTTATGGATTACCGGTAATATGGTTAAGGATTCAAAAAGTATTCAGATGAGAAGCTAGTCTATCTGCAAAGTGGGGGCTTATGAGTTCACTGAGATGATTTTAATATATAACGTATGTACTTTAAAGAGCTCATAAACTTACTGGCACAATATAACGCCATTTTTACATGGATGTCAATAAATTTTATTTATTTCTTGAAATTTAGCTTCTCTGTGATATTCGACAGTTTGACATTCCAAATAAGTGACAGCTGACAGACAACCTTCAAGCAGGGATCACCAAGTTGCGTTTTATTTGTTCCATTCTGGTAACGGTGGTGGGAGCAGAATGACGTTTACAAAGAATATGAACTTTTGAACCTCACGATGGCTATATTCCGAATTCAACTGGTCAGTACTGTCAGTAGATCCACTGAATCTGCTGAAAATCTGTGTTCCGAAATATAAAATCAAAAATACAGTGCTGTAATTCGGGACACGTTTTCATGGTTTTCATCAGTAGTCAGCAGCAGTTGATCAGCTGGTGAAATTTGTCAGTCTGTTGCTATATTCCGAATTCAACTGGTCAGTACTGTCAGCAGATCCACTGACTCTGCTGAAAATATGTGTTCCGAAATATGAAATCAAAAATACAGTGCTTTAATTCGGAACACGTTTTCATGGTTTTCATCAGTAGTCAGCAGCAGTTGATCAGCTGGTGAAATTTTTCAGTATGTAGTATCTCGTTTATCTGAACTAAATTATTTTGCCTCCTGCTTGACATACATTTTGGAAATATAATATTCAACAAGCAAAAACAATCGGTTCTTGTAGCCTTCATAGTTTCTTCGATTGTTGACGATGACGATTCAAGCTCGAGTGATGAAGAATTCTTGGACATTTGTGTAATATGGCATCAATGATGATGAATCCAGGAAACATTTCAGGTTTATTTAGATATTAATTTACCCAATGCTGCTTCTTCTTTCGTCACCTCTCTTCTACTTCATACTCTATATTATTATAATCTCTATATTATATTCTCAGCGTTTATTATTTCGATAACGGGTATCTTCTGATATCGAAAATAATATAATTAACAACGGAAATAAATGTTACATTCCTTCCCCCTCTAAAATAATGACAGTTTACTGAAGCCACACTACCTTTTGATACTCAGCAATTTCAGCAGAATGTTGAGTCGAAATATTTGGAATGAATAGTATATCTGCTCACAAGCATCTGTCACATTCAGTGATTTTTTTGATTTCGGAATGAAAAATCAGTAGATTCAGTACTGTCAGTTGAATTCGGAATATAGCCGATAACGATGTCTTCCCAAGGTGTCTTAGTAAATATTCCCGGAATCTTCTATGTTGAACGATAACGAAATTTTGTCCGTGCCCAATTTGAAATTGTTACAGTTATTTACCTAACAAGTGCGGAGAGTAGAACTTTTATGCAAGTTAGGTACAATGTTTTTCCTACAATTATTTTTGTCCATATAATTCATGAAAAAATAAGGTTTTTAATAAACAAGATTTCATAATAATCCTACAAAATGACATAAGAACAGTTACATAGCTCATTTAGTCAGTCCTAAATATCCTCATTTTCAACAATACAAATATATCGGAAAAGTAACTTTTCAGCACAGTTAATAAATAGTCAGTTAACCTGATTCATTTAAATTGGGTTACCGTAAACCCAATCAACCAAAATAAATCTTTTAGACGTCTTCAAGACGTATACGCCATTACGTAAGTACGTCTTCAGGACGTACATTTTAGGGTTCATAGACGTCTTTTTCCAATGAAATGTGCGTCTTTATTAGGTCTTTTCGGTCCATGTCCATAAGTTGATCTCTTAAATAACGGAAAAATCACATTTATTTTTCATTGATTTTCTCCTGTTTACTGCTGAAATTGGCAACTAGTGCAGCCGAGCGAAAAAAAAAGAGGAAAAATACGACCCCAGAAACTGGTAGACTCAAGCGGTCACCCAACGAAGTACTAACTGCACTCGTCGTATCTTTACCGATTCGGTGATAGGACGGTAGATCCATTTCTTCTGTTACTCTCTTCCTTTATCGATTCATCGCGCGAAAAAGTAAAAATGCTGTCGAAAAGTTAAATTTTGATCAGGGGAGTGGGAAATAGGTGAGGCTTGGGGCATTGCTCCCCCAACATTTTTTTTATGCAATTTTCGGCAGTTTTGACCAGGAAATATGAAAATATCATCATTTTTACTAGAAAATTATACTCCAGTTTATTAGTTTCGATAGCACTCATCATTTTCGAGATAAATCGATTTTAAAATTCTGCTGCGTAATACAAAATAGTATTTTTTCTTAATAGGGCACCACCTTATCAAATATTTTTTAATTCATTCGTTCTATTGTTCCTCTCATATTTTGAGTCAAACATCACAAGTAAGGTTTGCAATTCCGAAATACCGATACCGGAAATCCCGGGGTCCTACTGATATTTTTATAACGAAAAACCCGGGTTCACATCCGATTAGATCCCGGGATTTTCAGGAATAGTTTTATAATATTACGACTTCGTTCTCGTCAAGGACGTCAAGTGAATCAGATTATTATTATTTGAAGTTCCCGAAAAAAAAGGTATTATGAAGATACTCGTGAGTCATCTGAAACGTTTCTTTATAGTTTCAGAGGCAATAATTGATGAACAAGATGATGAGAAAGATAGAATTCCTCTTGTGAGTCTTACGTCACCGAGTGCTTCTCTGACTCAACCTCTACCTCGAACAAAAAATGTTGAATGAAGCACTGGAAAAACGCAATGCACCCAATTCGATTGCCTTCTGGAACAATGAGATATCTTCAAATGGTACGAAGGAAATTACCCTTTTCGAAAATGATGACAACAAACGGACATATCTTCAGCTAGCATATTATGATCTTTCGACAATTATACGACCAACTAGTGTAGAATATGGAAGAGTATTTTCCGCGGCACTCGACTCGCAGATAATATACCCTTCACGTGTGGATTTTTGTACGCTCCTGGTTCAGTCAACACTGTAAAAAATAAATGTTTGGCCTCTTCTTCACTCTACTTTTTTATGTATAGAATATATTTTCTGTTTATATACGAGTATTTATGTAATCATTACGTATCTACAGTAAACCCCATACTTTTTTCAAATTCTAATCCCGATACCAAAATCCCGGGTTCCCGGGTTCCCGGGTTCTTCTCAATTCGATACCGTAATCCCGGGATTGTATTATTACTCCGGGATTGCAAACCTTACACAAGTTGAAAAAATGGTAATTTCTATCGAAAAATCGTTTTTGGGAAAATTTGGTAGAGAAAAAGCACCACATTTTTGTAACGCAGCAGACTTTAAAAATCGATTTACCTATCTCGAAAATGGTGAGTGCTATCGAAACTGTAGACTGGAGTAAATGGAAATCTCATATTTCCTGGTCATACTGCCGAAAATTGCATAGAAAAAATAGTTGGGAAATGGAATGCCCCTATAGCCTCACCTATTTCCCACGCCCCTTATCAAAATTCCGGGAAATTCTCAACATCTCCAAATCGGACATGAGAAGTAATATACGTACAAAATCTAGTTATCTCAACACAGAAGGTTTTGGAAATATTTACATAAAACCATCGTTTTGGGCTCCCCTTTAGATAGCTGTAACTCTCCAGGGAGGCATTGCTGGACCCATGTTTATATGAACTTTTTTCACCATTTTCGTTTCTAGAATCTATGATTGAAATTTTTTTATGAATTTTCGGGACACCCTGTACATGATATCTGGCGCAGTTATTGCATCTCCCATTATAATATTTGATATCTACTGAATAAATCATTAGTTACGCCAAATTATGTTTTATATTGTGAATAACAATTCTACAATAACTTCGTCTTGTGGAGAATAATAAATAATAAATAATATAATAAAGTCCATATTTGTTTTTTGTATAGGAATCACGCTAGGAATATTGACTGGTGGAATAGCTTTGACCTGTCCAGAGTCACTTCCATCGTGGCTACTACTAACGTTGTGTTGTCCAGAGTGGGTCAGTTCCCTAGCAAAATCGACTCTATACCAAAGAATAGTCCTCTCTGTCTATACTCTGTGTGTGACATTGGGTCTTGACCTTGGTTTTATGTGCCTGTGGTGGTGTTGTGGTGAGTTGTAAATATATTAGGTGCGTTTTGTTGTGCCATAACCCATAACTCAATCTGGTTCTTGGCACTGTACACGTTTTGTTGTGCATTAAAACCCATTTTCAGTCCCATTCGCATTCCTTCTCATGAGAAGGATCGAAAATTGGGATGACAAATGAAAGTGACTTGTGATTATTATTGTGACATGAGAATGGACAGTTAAAAGAAAAAATTGTCAGCATTTATCGCATACAAGGTAGAGTCCGACCACGATAACTTTGGGACAGCACGTGCTCGCGTATGCATTGAATATGCATATGCGTTGCGTCACATGCTGTCCCAAAGTTAACGTGGTCGGACTCTAATAATGAATAGAAATTGAAGAGAACCACAGAAAAACGGGAATTTCTCCATCTACGGCATTGATGCCTTCCAAAAATTCAATCATTATTCTCAATTGATTGTGAGAATCATGGATATTAAATTATAGTCTTATATCAATTTTTGATTCATGGGAGTAAAAGCAGTTAGCAGAATGATGGAAATGGTAAAATTGTGACATAACAGAGACAAATACGAGGACAAATATAATATGATCACATTTTGAGGTTGAAAAATATCAATATGTTTCTACAGTTCCAAATGTTCGCATTGTCTGGGGCCGATCGTTACGCCGATGCGTTTTCTTGGGCCCACTCAATTAATCACTTCCGGAATGGCACAACAGAACGCACCTTGAGTTCATTGGTTGTAAGATGGTTGTAAGGTGTTTTGTGAATTAAACTAACCTGACACGTGACGTCTTCTGTCCTGTCACTGTCACTAATGTCATTTAAATGATCAAAAATTCAAATTTTACCCAAACAGGCAAACAACCAGCACACAACAACGTTCTCGTAAACAATTTAAATTCATTTCAAATTTGCAAACCTTTTGCACGAATATGGCTTCATTCAATATCGACTCTGTTACAGCTGCCTTACGAAATACTCGCGTCAGTCCTAGTGGAATTAGTTTTGCTGGAAAATCACTGAAATTAGACAACAATGATGATGGTAAGAAATTCTCTCAGAAATTCTTCACATCCCCTATTCTAGCCTATTCATTCAATTTTTAGCAAAAGATGTTATTGAAGCCATTGATAATTGCAGTGATCTACAGTATCTCAATCTTGAAGGAAATACTCTTGGTGTTGATGCTTCAAAGGGAATAGCCAAAGCCTTAGAGAATCATCCTGAATTCAAAAGAGCTTTATGGAAAGATCTGTTCACTGGTCGAATGAAAACTGAAATTCCCAAAGCTTTGGTAAATTTTGTATTTTAAGTATTTTGGTTTCATCTTGAATATGAAAGCTCTCAACCATTCAAATAAACAATATTAGGTATATCTGAGTGTGAAGAGTGAGGACCTGATTTATTGAGCAATAGTGGGTTCATATCTCTCTTTATACAGGCTGTTAATGAATCAATATGACAAACCTCAGGGGGTAATTCCCTATGAATTTTAGGAAATGATGTTTATATGAACATGTGTCCAAAAAACTTGCTTTATTTTTGAGATAGGGGCTCAGATAGGAGGTATTAATATTTCCATGCAAATTAGTTTTTTCAACCATTTCTCCAATGTTTTTTTATTCATCTCAATGAAACTTGGTGGTTTTGTTAATAGTGACATGGACCTTTTTTTCATGTAATTAGATTCAAAATAATATTTCAAGTGTTGTCACAGTGGGTTAGTTTATGGATATTTATGGTGCATATCATTGTATGCCACTGGTTGTTCTGAGTTCCATATTTTTATTAGGTTGAACAAATATTGAATCAACAACTTATCCCATTTGTTCCTCTTATATCCCCCTTAGTTTTTGAGGAAACAATTTTACTCCAAATTTTAATGTGAGTGCTTTCAAGACACCCATTGAGATTATTTATAATCACAATAAGAATCATTTTGAAATTATGTGACTTCCTCATCAGTCTCCAACCACACTGAATTTTGACACCATGAATGCTTATATACTTTATTTCCTATATCTCAAGAAACTAGTCTTTGAAGTTTGTCACACTTATTCACTAACACCCTGCATGGGGTCTCAAAATGGAACAGTTGATCAGTAGAAGAAGCAGAATAGGTGGATTGAACTATGAATTCAACATTTTTTGATAGTGTTGGTTTTCCTGGTTTTGTCTAGACAAATATGTGAGTCATATCTCCAAAACCATACTGAAAAAATAAGAGTGTGCCACTGGATTCTGCATAAATTCTCTGTGGGATAAGATTTCAATTTGACATTATTGCTGAGAAACTTTATAGATATGGAAGGGGTTTAAATGGTGCCAATTTTTTGAAAAATGTAAAATGTGTTCCAGCCATCTTGAGTTTCACCAAAAAGTGGCACAGGATTGTGAAAACCACAAGGCTTTATATTCAGCTACAACCAAGATAGCAGAGGAAATACCTGTCTGTCTCAACCCAAAATGGGATGCACTGTACAGAGAATTTTGTGCAGATTCCAGTGGTGTACCAAATTTTGTTTTCTGGCTATGGATTTAGAGATACTATACAAACTTATACTGACTGTCCCAGAATAACTTTGGTATACTCAGGTGATTCTGTAGATAAAATAAGAAAAAATATTTAGATGAAAATAAGAGAAATGTATCTATAAACATGTGTCTGAAAATGCTTCCTAAGGGTGCTAGAGCCCTAGAGCTCAAGAGATATGTTTTCAACAAATCAACATCACAATGAACTCTGATGAAACAAAACTAAGTGGAAATTAGAAATTCTAATTATCAAGTTTTAAGTTTTTCATCATAGGAGCTCACATGCTCAAAATGATTGTGATTTTTTTTGACATCAAAATGAAAAGTGACACTTCTTGAAAACGGTTTGTTTAACAGCACAAGAATACCTTTTTTATATAAAAATGTTTGGAGAATCATATTTTGGTAGAAGAAATCATATGAATCTTGAAACAAAAAAAGTTGGGGCATTTTTATAGCATTGGTTATGAGTTTCACACCTCCCTGTGTAATAAATCATGTTTTCCTTACCATGATCTGATTTGTCAGATCAAATCAACCCTAGATACAAAATGTTGTGATTCTAGGATCAATGAAAACGTAGATAATTGAAGAAAACTGCATTCAAGGTCCTTCAAAGTGCTCTAGAGCCCTTAGACACATGTTGGTAGAAACGTTTTTTATCATTTTCATCTGAAAAATTTCCTCCTGGAGTATACGAACGATATTCTGGGACACTCTTTATACAGGGTGAGTCAAAAATGTGTACAGAGCCTTCTGGAGGTGATTGTATATTGATTGATTAAATTGAAATAATTTTCCCACATAACTTCTAAATGTTAAAAGCCATGAAACAGAAATTTCTATCATAAATGTCTGTTGGTACAATACATTTTTCTGATACACTTCTACAGTTCTGATATTGTTATAAAGGGTGTTTTTAGTAGGTGGGTCATGATTTTTTGAAGACAACTCTTTTCCTTGTTTTCTTTTTGGTGAAAACATAGAAACATTGGATAGAGCAATTTATTGATAGAGGAAAACAAAATTACATGAAAACGGTAGTCGTATCTAGAGTTCCTTAAAATTTACACTGCTGTTTTGACGTTCTTTGTATATTAGAGTAGGACACTAGACAAGCAGTGACGATCAAACATAACCACAAACGATTTTGAAGCAAATCATATGTTTTGCCAGACAAGGACCAGAATATATTTTTCGATTAGATAAAGTATCCTCACATCTTCCTTCCTCCACAAGTCCTGGGAAGAGTATATCCATATATCTTCCTCTGTCTCTGATTTTTGTATGAGAGTGCATAGCGTCTCCTCCAGTGGGTAAAAGGGTACGATAAATTGATTAGAAATTTATTTCTTCTCGAAATATTGAATGATAAGGCTGAAGGACCTCAATGGAGGACTATATCAAGTTCATATGTACATATTATATACCAACGAAATACATATATATACTATTCTTATGAAATAAGTCTTATATGTAAAGGTATATATATAAGTTCATTTGAATATTTTTCGAACATATGGAACAATGTTAGATCCAATAACAAAGATGAGATTCTGAAAACTGAAAGTTTATTTATTGAAAAGGGATTCTCCCAAAACGATAATCACCAACCAACTGAGAATACTGCAGTCGCACAAAAATCAACACATTTCAAGAAACCCCTCCATACAAATCCACAAGAAACATATCCAGACAGCAAACAAAGTATTTCTCTTGTGTGATTACAGGAGTTGAACAAGTAATATCCGATGAAGAAATTGAAGAAAAGCTCACAGAAGTCGGGATCGAGTTTTTTACTGTAGAAGAATAGTATCTAAACCCATGCACAGACCGACCAACAATACTAATTAGAATAACCACGAAGAATATCAATTCATATGAGAAATTACTGAATCAAGGATTATTCTTTGCAAGTCATTTAGATGTCCAAATCGACAAATCAATCCAATAGAAGGAATACAACATTCCAGTGAAAACGTTGAACAAGAAAACTAATGAGATGAAAGATAACATCAAAACTGCTAGTAGGATACATTCAACAATTATTACAATACATGATGAAATAGTGAACACTTTTGTAGGAAAATTTAATAACCCTAAATTCGACAATAGTAAAGAACTGTTAGAGAAATTGCGACGCAAATTACCATATTGAAACATCGGTGAGTTTTGTTGGAAATAACAGAATTCACATTCTAATGTTCCATATGGAAGAGACCGACTTTAATTCCCCAACAGAACCTACCCAAGGAAATACTGCTCACATTCAACTCCAAAATTAGAGTTATCTATACCACTGTAAATAGCTATCCATCGAGGAGACATCTGATAAACAACACCATAGAACGAAATAAAATAGACTGTGCATTATTTGATGAAAAGAAAACTAAGTCAGAATCAACCACAACTTATTGAAACAGGAATATCCTGCGACATGATGTAACATATTCAATACAAATATTCGCAAATATTAGAGAAGGTAGTCTACATAGTCCAAGTGATTCTCGCCGTGAAAATGGGTAAAGCAAATCCTCCAAGAATCAATAACTTATATCAAAGACTGGAACCTTTGGCACGATAATACTATCAATACCGGCATCACTCACGCTATATTTATTTATTTATTTATTTATTTACTTACTTAGTTCACAGAATAAATCCAATTAAGAACTAAGAATACAGTAATATGAGTTAACAAGAATAATGATTTAAAACTATTGTCTATTACAAAAAAAGAAAGATCTAATCTGCTGGATTGTTGTATGAAAAATGTCAAAAGCTGTGCAACGATCATTATAATTTCTACAGATCCTTTGTACTGGAGAGTTTCTACATATGTTTGTGCGTGGAGTTGGCAAGTAAAAGGTTCGATTCACTCGGGACGCCATTCTTGGAACGTGAAACTGAATTCTTTGCATCAAATAATGGAAGTCACATGAGTTGTTGATTGTTTTGAAAAGTATTACATTGGAATGGTACTCTCTTCGAGTTTGTAGACTGCTAAATGAATGTCTCTCAAGTAAATTTGTATGTGGTATGCCAATTTCTGGATATTCTCCATCTATTCTGAAAGAAAGTAGTTTCAAAAAGCGCCGCTGAATCGATTCAAGATTGTCGATGTGAGTTTTATTATGAGGACTCCAAATTACCGAAGCATATTCCAGCTTCGATCGGACAAATGCATAATACAGACTTTTAAGAGTTACAGTATCCTTGAAATCTCTGGAGTATCGAACTATACAACCATAGGATTTGCTGGCGGTTGACGATATTTGTTCGATGTGAGTTACAAATGAGAGTTTTGGATCAAATATCACCCCCAGATCTTTGAAGGTCTCTGCTCTCTGTAAGTCAGTATTATCAATGGTATAGTTGAACATGATACAAGATTTCAAAGTGAAGGACATAACACAGCACTTTCCGGGATTAAGAAATAACTTATTGGAAATACACCATTCGTTGATTCTATCTAAGTTATCTTGTAATAATTGACAATCATTTGTTGTTGAAATTCTGTGGAATATTTCCATATCGTCAGCATATAGCAAACCATTAACTTCGATGCCGTCGAGTATGTCGTTAATAAATATATTGAATAACAGAGGACCAAGGTTCGACCCTTGCGGTACTCCAGACGTAGCGAGATATTCGATTGACCTGTGACCACGGCACTCGACATATTGCCTTCTTGATGATAGATACGACAGAAATAATTCTACCAAATGAGCAGAGAAACCAAGTTTAGACAGTTTATTC